AGCACACAGTGGTCGCTATGCCCCAGTGGAGCGTTAATTGTTACCTGATCAACGAAGTGTCTTTCGTTGGTGATGACCAAATCCAAGAGGGATGGTAGTTGGCCTGCGCGGTATCTGGTGGGTGCAGCGACATGCTGGGTCCAAGCGCTCTGTTGAACGACTTTTAACAGCGCTGCTGCAAAAGGTCCGCCTGATTCGACGCGCTGGATTTCAATCCACGAGGCCTTTGGTGATTGATTTACTGACTAGCATGTGCAAGTGGATCGAAAGAAATTTCCTGGTAGAAGAGAACGGCGGTTGGAAAGAGTCGGGTTAGCCGCCAGTTAACTAAACGATACAAACGGAATTGCGTAGCATCGAGGCCTTTGGGGATTGATTTACTGACTAGCATGTGCAAGTGGATTGACCGAAATTTCCTGGTAGAAGAGAACGGCGGTTGGAAAGAGTCGGGTTAGCCGCCAGTTAACTAAACGATACAAACGGAATTGCAGACGTAGCATCGCCTCTCGATTTTGTGCTCTCAAAGAAAATGACTTTCACGGGAACTCTCATCCTTAACGCCAAGAAAAAAGCCGACCCAGGAAACTTGAGCAAAAGCCTCGATCCTGTGTATCAGTCCTTGAATCCATGAATCCGTGAATATGCAAAACCCATGGACTAATACACAGGTTTTAGGTGGTTGCCCAGGCTTTCCTGGAAGGCTTAATTCTTGCCCTTCAACGGCTCTGGCTTACCCGAATGATCTAGATGGAGAATGGATAATAGCGGTCTTTAATTCTCAGCGTTTAACAACAGGCTTGTCAGGTCGAATAATTGAGTACATAAACATTAGAATTGATTTTGCCTGGGTCATAAGTTTCATTTTCCAGGAGCTTTAATGGGCACAGCGTATGAGTGAAAGGTGGAAAACCAATGCATGAAAAAGAGCGTGCTCCAAACTTGAAAAGCTCCACATCACTGTCAACCACCTGTCAGCAATTTATTGGGTAAGAAAGTTACGCCACACAAACTCATGCAAGGTCTAAACTGCCCTTTGGAACAGGCGGTGGAAAACTTTTGAAACAAAGTTTGTTGTCCACACACTTCGCACAGCAAAACTGCAGAACCCGTCTTTTCAACAGGAGCAGCTTTCTTTTTTTATGCGCGCCTCCCATCCTTGTAGCACAAGTCTGAGAGTGCTGCAGCTGTGACTGCAAAACTGAGTAGATTAGGACTGGCTTCACACGCAGATATCTGGATTAAAAAGGATAAGGTTCAAGCACCTGCAGTCCCCCTCCGTAGTCCACAGACCGAACACCAGCTACCATCTGTTTGACTGCGCTTAGACACATTCAACAAGTTTTGGTCCCTTTGTGGTTTTGTGTGAACTACCTGGTTTGTTCACGGCAGAAACTTTCCGACTTATGCACCTCATTGTATCTTAGAATCACCGGGTGTCAGCGAACGGCAAAAAATATGCTCATCTTCATGTTGGTAAAGATGTTGTCCGAGTTCTGTCATAGTGCAATAAGAAGGACTCTGTGGAATACGGCAAGACATCCATCTCCATCTTCATATCCAATCTGGGTATCACCCGATATAATTTATCATAAGATATCGCAGAAACACTTGTAGACTCCCCATAAAGTGAATGGCACAAGCGCTTTTCTTTTTGAGTTGTGGGTGCTGTATGAGCGGCCGTGCAAACGACTGCTGGGGAATGATGGTGTTGCTCCACGGAATGGTTTGTGACCAGTGTGAATAGGGTAGGATACGAGTCCTCGAATCGGGTGGTACCGACAACCTCGAAAGGCCAATGCGCTCAAGATGGCAGTCACGTGGACCGAATGTAAGGCAGGCATGAAAGTGGACGACAGAAAGTCCTGTTGGGTTCGTCACGTATTGGAACAGTCAGGACGACGCAGGGAGAGACGAGATAGCTTGATGATGAATGTCGCAATGCACTCTGTCTCATTCCAGCAAGATGCACTCATATCTGGTAAATGGGAGACATCCGAATATTCCAAAAGTTTACCGGAAGTTATTCGGCGGGAAATTTTCAACGATTTATTAGACCTTCATCAGTAGATTGAGGTCCCACTTTCTTGGCATAAGGACATAGAGACAGGGCGAAGAATCCCCCAAAATCAGGGACGGACAGAACGTGTGTGTTCACTGTTCGTTTATCAGACAATCGGGTTTGGCCAAGAGAAGTGCCACATTTGCTGAAGTTTCGCCCATAGACCAACTGTGCGGAGAATGAGGGATCTTGGGACAAAGTACTTCACGCAATCGTACCAGATAGACAAGGGATGAACGATACCTGTTCGAAGTCACAACAAAGCAGACACCAATATCATGTCAGTAACGTTGATTTCTCGCAAAACTAGACAGCCACGACTGTCACCGCGAATGTTGCTAAGAACATGGCACTTGGTGGTCACTGGATCTCTCTAAGCCGCACAGACGTTGAGAAATTTCGGTCCAGCGTAGGTGTGGCTCAAGACTAAATCGATGCGCCAAAAAATGTTTCCGTCAGATGAGCCGTGAAGCAATCGCTTTGTTAGAACATAACAACCTGCATTCATCTGTAAAGGATCGGCTCTGACGAAAAGACGGCATATAATAGGAATTACCAAGCTATTCAATAAAGATCGGATCTCAGAACACGTCTGGTCCACTTATTTCCGGGTTGGCCCATACAAGACAAAACTAGAAACTGTACAAATTTAATGCAATAGAGCATTCTAAAAACAGGATCTTGTTTCTCGGACTGTGAGGTGTTCAGTATAGTCGTCATCCCTCTGATAGATGGCTTTATTGGCCAAATAAGTGTTTTGCTGCTGGACGCCGAGAATTTCGTTAAACCAAGTTTTCTAAGAGGATATCCCTGACCCAAAAAGACCATAGCTGATAATCAGACTGCCATTTTGCTCCATCTTCATGGCTTTCCGGCCTGAAGGCCTGCTGTCTTGGGACTAATGTAGGGCGAACACCGAAGCATGCGTGTCCCTGAAAAGTTGCCTCCCAGGTATATCTAAAAAACCTGCTTATCTAAAATACGTAAATCGTCCGTATGCACTGTAGACTCATTAGGCACCACGCTGATCCACATGTCAGCAGATCAAGCTTTTCAGCATGTGAAAAAGTCGAACATTCAGGCGGCTGTCTTTGAACAGCAGGCGACAGGCGGATTAGTGGAAGCCGACAGTGACATTTTTCACACCGCAAACTATCAAGTACGCAATAGCAAACAGCGCGCATTCACCTGTTGCTGAGGGTAAAGTGGGCGTCCCCGAAGACTCAGCTACCCATTTGTCGCAGTCAGAGAACGGAGGCGCCACCAACGTCTGATAGCTGCGACGAATTCTTGGAAAGTGGCTTGACATAAAATTGGCTGATTTTCTACTTTCACTGGGGCTGCTTCATTGAGTGTCCAGCTGAATATACGCTCAAAAACAAACCGGTATGATTAGCGGCAGCCGCAGAACCCCAATGATCAGTCTTGTATCGATTCGGACGGGCTCGGTTCCCAGGGTGTCACAGCAATGCCAACAGCCGATAGATTCATGCACGCAGTGCTCCAAATATCCACAGTACTTTAATTTTTATTTGATTCAAGGGCTACTGGCCACGATGTCGCCTGTATGTAGGTATGGTCATGAGTGGGTAGGGTTGACATGATTGAGAGTTTACGAGGATATAGAACACCATCTTTTTGCATGGTGAGCGCGACTGACGCTTTGAAGTTATGGTTACAGTGGCTTTCATTGGAACTTTTCGCTCGCTTGCATATAATTCCTATAATCCTTTATTCAGTCTCATAAACGTGGAGTCCAATAAGGACACAGTGTTAGACCGAGCCCTTTTGACCATTGCGAGCACATACAGGCAGAAGTTTTGTATCTGCCTGTCGAGTCAATATCCCAAGAGTATTTGAGGAGCCTATGATGGACGTAAGGTTGTATAATATCACTCATGGCACCACATCTTGAAAAAAACTCGTTTTTCATCAACTTCAGTCTGGAATATTCCAATTACTCAAAAAATTTCTGTAAGTTTGATTTGTTTGAAAAGACAAAGGAGAAAACTCTCTGAGAGTTCACGCGAGCAACCGGTGGATGTGCTGATTCAGCGGAAAACTTCTAAAGCTAAAGTCGTAGTAACAAACAAGTTTTCATTGATTATAACTGCCACTTCCACATTATGTTAACCAGTTTCACCCTGCGCCGAATCTTTTTCTAGTCGGTTAAGCTTGAAAGGACCTAGATCATGAAAATGGGAATAATTGAGGTAGATGGCCAAAGAAGGGATGTCTTTTCTGAGAAGGTTTAGCTGACAGTGAACGCCGCATAGATTTATTGCTCTCTGATCCGCAAAAGTTCATTTATTTCAAAAATCGCCTTATTGTTTGGTTTGTGCCTGCATGTCTGTTTAAGTAACTCATACAGCCCTGAAATGCATCCAAGCTGGGAACTTTTCTTTGCATAGAAAAACCGAGCACGCTCCAGATTTTGTCGCCGCAGATTTCAGTTCACTGCGGACGAATAATTCTTTTGTCCTTTTGATGGGAAAATATCACTACCAACTGTAAGTAAGCTAAATGGTCCATTAAGTGGTGAAATGAATGAGAACTCTTTTGCCAGAGTGTCATGGTGCAAGTCGACCCCCTCAATTTTATTAAGCGCAAAAAACAGTGCACTAGTCCGTCGCTACTTTCTGGATTTTGCGCCGCTTTCCCGGAATGCGAGCGTCACATGCAAATGCAGTTATTTACATCCTTTTGGTAGATCGCCTACTGGGGACGTTTGGAATGGGGGTTTGATAGTTTGCGCATCTTGAAAGATTGCGACGATGAAATCCTGCATAAGCAGGCCAATGTCCGTCTATCTCAAAAGATTATCCTGCTATTTTGAGCCTCCCCATCGCGCGATTTGGAAGCTATTTAAACGACCGTGGTTGCTTACATGGTGCGGCCAGTACTTGTGCTTGATTATATCGGTCTTCTACACTTGAGGACTCTGCCGTTTTATGTGCCACACGGAAGCAAAAATTGCCTACATAAATTGTGTTCTACCTCTATTGATCCTCTCTGCTAACCCACAATCCTGCTGCCCACAGAATTGCACGCCCCCTGTCCGATCACCTCAACCATGCCGTCCGTTAACGGGCTGTCCAAATCCGACGTATGTCAGTAAAACCGTGCCACGGTATCGCCCAACTTTGTACGATGATACACTGACAACTACATTTCAATGCTCTTGACCGTTCACTTTCGATCTGTTAGAACTACAGTTGTTGAGGCGGTCAAGATGCGGGATGATTTCACTCTAATTCACTCAACCCTTCTCTCAGATTTGTTTATCTAAGTGGACTTTCAGCGTGTTCTCCCACAAATAGTAATTTTCCTTGCGGATCCTATTTTGCCCTATGCAATGGCGTTACTCCACACTCCAAAGGAACTTTCACGACTGACCCCGCCCCAACAGCGGCAGCAGTAAGCCTACCAGGTTTGACCAAACTCATGATTCTCGGATGCTGACAGTCATTCATTTTTATCGCGAGCAAACTCATTTACACTTCTAGGACCCTGGTCGTAAACACAAATGTCCAAAGTCACGCAATAGCAGTAACAGTTTTAAGTTTTATTTAAAATTGGCCAGCCGGATCACCAGCATACTTCAGCCTCTCCAGACTCGTTGTCTTGGATTCTCATTTTCCGCGAGATCTTCAGGTTTTTATCATGTGTAATAGTTAACTCCCTTAAATATCTTCCTCGCCATCTTCGAACTGAATCGGTCTGATCTCGGCAGGATGAATATCACAGGCGATTCAAAATTGGACTGAGTTTTCGCATTTATTCCCCCGGCTAACTACAAGAATTCTTGTCCACTTTCCAACCACCGCAACCTTGATATCAGTTACGGGTCTTTCCATCAGCAGAAGCATGTCAATTAAACGATCGCGCTGCACTATCGTGCATAGCATGATGACACACTCACAACTAGTATCTCCATCTTCCCGACAGTTTCCCCTTAGATCCTTAAATACCATTTGAAGGAAACTGCTTTCCTGGCATCAATCACTCACGAGACGGTTTTTTCTGATGGAGTGAACTCCTTCCAGGGATTCAACTATTTCAGTGCTTTGTCTACATATCCAACGGTTTTATTCACGGTGCCCGTTCGGTCTTGTGTATAAGCAAATCTCCCTTCAAAAGGAACGATTAACCAGCATCCCGGTGACATCAGTGTCTTTTTAGCTTCGCTGTTTTTTTGGGCAAATTGCCGGTCATCACATGAACCATTTTTCCAACCCACTCAATTTCCCCTACGGTTTCGTGGCTCTGAATAATAGGGTCGCCCATTGTCAGCAACGGACTTAAGATTCAATCCCGTAATTATCACGGAAATACTCAAACCCGTAGCCCCAATGTTTTTGTGCCCGAAAATTTAATGATTATCTTTTTTGCCAGCTGATATGGCACATCGTCAGGCATGACCATAATGGTACAGGTAGAATAGAAGCGTGGCTAGTGGGATTTGTGGGCATAGAGGATTGCGCAGTAACGATTCAATCATAGACGCTGAGCATCGTCCGGCACTAACACGGTGGATATCTGGGGGATGAAAACATAGTTATTTGTTTTTTTCAGCACATGTAACTCCAGCTGAAAGCGACCGGACCGCACCTTCTTTGTCAAGCAATTAACTGCGTGGCAGAGTTGGTATACACGGCTAGCACCATAAAATAGATCCTGTTTCCTCATAACGCCTGCTTTATTCGACAAATATTGATTGTAACGTAGCAACCAAGCTGCAAAGTTATGTAGCTTCACCAAACAGGGCAACCGTGTCATCAGTGAACACCACCACCTCTTTCCTGGAGTTGTCTACATGCACAACGCAGCTCTTCAACTCTACCCCTTCGAAATGTGGCAGTCGAGGCTTTGGAGCCTAACTGCCCTTTTTTCCAGAAGAAATCTTGAACCAGATAACCATCCACGCAGCAGACTTGTATCTCTCCAGAGGTATCTTCGGCTAGATTATTCTCAGACGCTACGTGCCTCCATTGAGGCGGTGACGACAAATCACTAAAGGCCACTGGTTGAATTGCAACAAAGGTGCAAAATCGAGAAGGCATGTTATGGACATGGTAGAGAACAGCCATCGAGACTGTCCAAAACACAGCACGCTGGAAGTGGCTCTTTTTACTTTCTCCAACCTGGTCTGCCGCTCAGACTGAAAACCACGCGATTTTTAACTCCACTTCTGGTTTTTAAAAGGACTTAAGAGGTCATCGCACTTTCCAGGTGACATGTGAGCAGCCAAAATCCTCAGCGTTTAGTATCGAGCGAGCATATACTACCACGTTATATGCAGCTCCCGGTGCATCTCAGAACGCATAAAGTTCGGCGTGTGGAATACCAGTAAATTCTTAACTCTTTATGCCAAGTGTAATGTGTCTGTGTGTATGAAATTATGCAAACCCACTGTGTGGATTTTCTGAGGGGAGCAGTCAGATAGGGCCTAAAAAGGAGAATGCGATGCGTTAGATGGATGTACCAGTAAGTTGGTGGCTCTCACCAGCTTTCCAGAGAAGCACAAGAACATAGGTTTATCAGTTTATTCCGCGGAAACCAGAAAAATATGGATCGAGGGATGACAATAGCAGAATGTGGGGAAACAAACGTGTTAATATGCAGAGGGTGTTAGTCATTGGTAAGGGCTCCAAATATCCTCTGGATGGTATTCACAAATATCTTCATGTTCTTACTTCATTACCGCCGCCCCTTCTGGAACTAGACAAAGAGCGCTGTGACTAACGATGGCGCGAATTTTGACATCTGGCGGCACATTAAACAGGCTCCATGCACCCGGCGAATAGTACGCGATAAAGGCTACGAAGGCCAGATAACCAATTCCAATAGTGAATGCAATTGGTTTCGTTTAACGGATCGTCACAACCGAATCCAACCTTACAGGGTCTTTGCGGTAGACACCCGCCTGGTATCAGCCATGGAGAATCGAAGTCCAGAAGATCATAAAGTGAAGATATATGCAGAAGAACGCTGCTACCCGGCACTTCAAAGTCGATTACAACTACACCCGAGTCTATATCCCATTGCACTGCCAGATCCCGCTCCATTGGCAATGGGTGCGCAGTTGTGTTTCGCAAATCAGACGTAAGTCGCCGCTCAGTATTCGCAAAATCGAACGGAACTCTCGAAAACTGATACGTTTGGACGGTTACCACTTCATGGTAAAGAATTGTTACGTCTAATGAATTGTTCTGCAAATTATTGGCGTGGGTGAATTGTTTCAGTGATCGAATCCCCAAGGTCATCGATCAGCAATGACTGTGAAGACGGTGCTTTTTTTGCAAGATAGCGCGAATTGCGGTAAAACGTGAATTGCTTTCAATGCACGAATGCGGTAGGTAGTTCTGAGGCTAAAAGAACTCAGTGAGCTTCCTGGGAGCTGCACTGTGTTTGTGGAAGCAAAATACGCTAAAGTGCCACTTTTATAAATATTTGTTGCTTTTTATATCTACTTGACTGGACAAATACACGGTTTATAATACTCGCTGTTCCGAGTTAGTATCGAGGCGGATCCCTTTCTTCTATTTTTATGTTCTACAACGCTATTCCCAATTTTTATTATTTTAGCTTTGCCCCCTATACCATTTTTCTGTTTTTTACCTGGACTGTCCTTGGGCCTTGTCATCGGACGTATTGTTTAGGTCAACACGTGGTTTCAATAGTTTCTAAACACGTGGCTTTGAGTCGGTGGACTCTGGGATGTGCTAGAAATTAGCAATTCCTAAACCCGTGCATAGAAGCAGGCGTAAATCTATGATTTAAAGCCAGCAAAGTTTTGTTATTTTGTTATTGCATTTAAGGTACCGCATTTGTAGATGAACGTCATTTGAACAATTTGGTTTTCGAGGGTTAGCACATAACTCATGGTGGTCAAACGGATCGCTGGAAAAAATCCATAGTAGATACATTCATTATTTTCGGATAATTTGTCCGAATCTGGCGGAGCGCAAGGCTTGCAGATAATGAAAAGCTATGCACGTACGTCAAATTTAGCAGTACACTGCAACCGATTTCTCCGCTGAAACTGGGCTATCCTGTCAGGGCAGTCATGCCTTTGACCATAGTGTACAGCCGATGCAAACGACTACAGGCTGAAATGAATACCGCTGCTCAATGAACTGCACACCCCAGCCGAGTCATCTCAAATGTGACGTCCGTCACGGGGCTGTCCAAAAACTGAAGCATGTCAGGCCAATGATGGCACGGCACTGCCATACTCAGTTTGATAGCACACCCGCAACTGTTCCATTCCTCCCCTCAACCGTGCCCTCTTGCCTACTCTTTTCATCGACCCCAACGACCACCATGACATTCATTCCAACCTATTGGACTACTCGTTCGAATACAACCACCTCTGTGTCCCCATCCAACCTAACCCCTACACCTGACGTCCCAGCAACAGTACAACCAGTGAATCTACGTGTTCTCAGATTGCACCATATTTTTGAAACTAAACTTGCCGTGTTCTCCCAATTCGAATTATCCCATCTCCAACTCCACTTTTGCTTGTTATGACTGCGGCCATTTACCCAACCGCCTAAGGTCCCTCATGGCCAGAAATGGCTTTCCAGTTTTAGTTCATGTCAGCCGACTGAGTCTTTGAATTATTCGGACCTCATGCCTATTGTTCCCTACAAGTTGCAAAAGAAACATATTATTATTATTTAATCGAGTACCTCCCACTGTTTGTGACATTGTCCCCTTTTCGCGCAGTCACCACTACCCGCAAATCCCTCAGTAATGCCCCATTCTGACTGTGAACGCATGACCATGCCAGATGGCATGCCGCCCACAAGTTGGGCATAGACATTATCATTATCATTATCATTATCATTATGATGCGTCCAGGGAACACGACGCCCAATCAACCAGCCACATAGAACCTACATCGATTTTGGCGGATGGCTGAACAAACCTGCCCGAGGCACATGCGGCTAGGAGTGAGTGGGTTTTGAGGATACTAAGAATTTCGTGAAGAGACGGACATAAACATACACATCATCCGAAATGGAACTGGTCACGCCTGAGGCGTCATGGGTAGGGGACCAAAATTTCGGGGGCTGGGGACATATCAGATGAGACAAGTTACTACCTTTAAGATTTGAAAGTGGCGGGCAAAAACAATACGGGGGATGGCCTATTAAAATGCTTGCTGCTTGGTACGTGGTAAAAAATTCAAGCTCCAAAAAACGCGGCGACGACATCGTGTACTCGTGTTCATACAACGCTATCCTCAGAGGCCGATTCGCATTGCGTGATTTCTTGCAGGCAGGTGCCTACTGATCGTAGGGTCTTACATGAAGTGCTTCAGGTATCATCAACAAGCAAACTGCCTGGAGCTAAGAGACCTTGCAATAATCACAAGAAGTCATCGCCGTCTCCTTCCTTAAGTGGTGTTCTACAGTGTTATTCGTAATGTTAAGCAACCGATGGTTCTCTGTCAGCTTCTCCCCAGGGCCGAAAGTACTGACGCTATAAGAATCCCGGGACATACTGTGCGGGGTCCGCGCCACGGCCACTGTCAACATTACAAGATGCCTTCTTTATAGGCCGATTAGCGATTATACCTTTGTGTTTTATGGACGGGCCATGAATAAAGCAGAAAAAGCAAATTATTAGATACGGACTCATCATTGAGACAGCCCGTCGTTGGTGACACAACCAACGAATCGTAAGGTTGGAAATAAGTCGCGGTTCCGTGCAGTGCAGCAATTGCACATACTGACACAATCAATGTGTTGATATTACGCCTAAAAAAGCGCTATATAGCATTGACAGGTAGAATATTTACCGTCCGTATTGAGAGTGTTTTTAACTAAAAGTCAATAAGTGTTATATAACATATGCATGCTTCCGGACGGCCTTTCCTATATGAAAGTGGCACGACATGACATCGCTGCCGAACACTGCTCTAGCCGCCAGTTTGTCCATCATAAGCCCCCCTGGGATAATAATAGGTTACTTCCGAACTTGCAAGGAACATGCTCACAGAGGCAGGATCGGGTTGTCACAACCTGAACGCGACGGGTAATGACACAAAAGCGAGGAAAGTATGACCGGTATGACAAACTTATTACGTGAAAAGTCACCGTGGCTGTGGTGCGACTGGTTCAATGATGAAGCCGACTGACACGAACTAAAACTGGAAACCATGGCTAATCATGAGTGACCTTGGGTGGTTTGGTAAATAACCAGGGTCACGGAAGACGCTCAGTATCCGCACAATGGAATGGAAATTTCGAAGGCGATGTCCCTGTTGGACTAAAGTAGTAAGGCAATTGAGTTGAGGGTAACATTCCAAACTTGTGGGCCCCATTTAGACATCTTGAGGTTTCAGTGATGCTTGAAAATTATTCCACCAGATTTTCCTGCCGGGTCCATTGATTGTTTCATTGGACAAAGAAATCTAGTGGCCTCAAAAATATGAGGATAGATCAGAATGGTTTTTGACTCGAGCACGTACGCACCAAAATGCAATACATTGGCGCAAAAAGTTTAACGTCACCCCTAAATATTTCGCGTCTAAAAGCATTGTGAGGCTAATGGGCTTCCAAAAATGCAGATGGAGATGGAAGAATTGGAAGTGGAGACAAGTGACAAGATTTTCCTCAAAAATATGGTCTAACTGGAAACTAGGTAGACCGACTGGTGTCACTGTTGCAGGACACTCCGGTTTAAAGAATGGTCTTGATGGCGAGATCACGCCGATGTATAGGGCCAAACGTAGGACCATCGTAAAGAAAATTAAACTTGTGGAAAATGTGGACCGAATTTGCAGCAGAAAACCGGACAGGTTCAGCACGAAAAAAAGGTTTAGCGGATCAGAATGAACTCATCCCAGGGGCGGTTCGGGCTGGTGGAAAGTTTTTCCAGGCTCGAGTAGACGACAGGCGACGGTTATTTCCCCCAACATGCAACCACTTTTCACATGAAAGCAAACTTCGCTTTTCAAAGGGACGTCCTGTGCGTCCTGTGCGCATGCAAGCATTGGTCATAAAATTGTAATATTTGTATCTACAAGCCAGATATATGTTTCTACAAAAACCAAAACAGTTTGTCGCATGTGTTCCATCAAAATTCACTTCATCCGAGGAGCGTTGGAACAGCGCTATTTTCCGCCATCTGGAGAAGCACATGTGTCTACAGTGGCCTCCCCGTGAGTGCAACGGTTGCACCTGTCCAGTAGCCTAGAGTTTTGCGGCGAACAAATGTAACTCATCTGCTACGATAAAAACAAACTCTACGTCACTTACTAAACTTAAATGACCAACGTTTACTGCGGTGTCCTCAGTGGTGAGGACATTGTCAAATTTATGGGCCAAAAAGTGTCGTACTTCACACTACGATATTCCGTGCTACAGCAAGGAACTGAACGTGTCCTCTTTGGTTGGTCGTCAATTTTTGGAAGCCGGTGGTACAAAAACTTGGAAACCTTGTGGTTGTTCACGGTTTCACGGATTGATACACAGGATCGAGGCTTTTGCCTAAGTTTTCCGGGTCGGTTTTGTTCTTGTTGGTCAGTGGCTGTCGTTCACCTGAAAGGCACAAGTGAAAAAAGGGTGTAGCACTACTCTTTATGTTCTCAGCGCGGGGCAGTATGCTTGCCAGCGAGAAGATTCGCATAAATAAGTGTCTAATAGTGCTTTAAATTGGGTTCGAGAAGGAGTGTGTGCAACCGTCGGAGGAAGGTCATTCCACGCAGCTACTACCCGAAATGAAAAAAAGTTTCCTCTGATGAATGTGTGTGCTCTGAGCTTGAACATTTTCTTACTATGTCACCGCCGTGAGTTTGCTCGGTCAACGGTGAAAAACCTGTTTGCCAAGCTTTGTTCAAACAGACCATAACTAAGAATTAGGTTTACGCGGAGGCGACGGTACTCCAGGG